AGCCTGCTTTTCTTTCATATGCGGGCTGTTTTTTGGTCTCCCCATGATCTAGGATGTCTGGTTGTGTAGTTCTCTCTCTCCTGCTTTGATTTAACGGCACAAAATACAACACAACCAGGTACAACACACAAGGCACTGAATAGAAATGTGTTTGCGATATTAATAACCACCAATAAGGGTGACTAGAACCCAGCTAACAAAAACATACAATCAAACAAAAAGCATAGGCAAATCAATCTTATAAAAGAAAAGCATACAACTTCAGTAAAGTTAACATTCAACATACAATTTCAAAGAGTTAGAGAGAAAGACTGTTTTGTTTTTTTTTGTTTTGTTTTGTTTTTAGGACCACTGCGAGGGAGGTGTGAATGGGTTTGGAGCAGGTAGTTGGAAATTAGATATATACAAGTAGGGTGAAATTTTAGGAGGGGATAGACAGAAGGAATGGGGGAAATCTAGAGCAGGAAAGGGTTAAGATAAACAGGGTATCAAAGGAAAAGATTGGAAAGAGGGTGAAGGCATAAAGGTAGGGTTGAGATTGAATAAAGCGTTGGAGAAAGAAGGATAGATAAAGACTGTAGAACAGTAATCCTGAAATTAAAAAAAAAAAAAATATATATATATATAATCAAATGAAATAAAAATAATAAAAATAAACAAAAGAAAATAAGATGAAAAAGGTAAATTAGTAGTAGTAATAATGTTGATTACATATACAATGTAATAATTATCAAGATAAAATCAAGCCGGGACCGGTTTGGCTCAATGGATAGAGCGTCGGCTTGGGGACTGAAGGGACCCGGGTTCGATTCCAGTCAGGGGCATGTGCCTTGGTTGTGGGCATATCCCCGGTAGGGGGTGTGCAAGAGGCAACTGATCGATGACTCTCTCTCATCGATGTTTCTAACTCTCTATCTCTATCCCTTCCTCTCTGTACAAAATCAATAAAATATATTAAAAAAAAAAAGATAAAATCAAGTGAGGAAAAAGAAAAAAAATAGTTTCTTGAGTAAACGTTGCAAATAATGAAAACAAAAATAAAAAACAAAAATTTAAAAATTAAAAAAAATAATAAAATTTAAACATTTTAATTAAAATTTGCAGTAATGAAGGTCATTCACTTCCTCTATTGTTATGATCCAGTCCTGATTTTTAAGCAGGTTTTGCTTTGTTTTTATTACACTAGAGTCAATTGGTGAATTAGCCTCTGGGGGCAGTGTTTCTAGGTTGACTTCCAGACTCTAGAGTAGGGGTGTCGAACTCAATCAGAGAAGGGGCCAAAATCTAAAATCCAGCCTAAATCGCGGGCTGAATGGTTTACTGAACAGTCATAAACTGACAATGTTAACCAGAAATGTGAATTTAAAATGAGTGGAACAATCTTTTCCTTAACAGTGCTGTTAACCAACTCACATGCTATCAAGGATTTGGCCCGCGGGCCTTGTGTTTGACACATGTGCTCTAGAGCCTCTCCAGCCCCCCCCCCCCTCTGAAGCTGGAACTACCGAGGGGGGGAGGGGGCAGGTCCGAGCAACTGGAATCTCCCGCAACTCTCCGATATCCCTCCAAGCCAGATCCAAATGTGTTGCTCTTTAGATATCTCCCCTGTTAGGAGCCCCGTCCACTTTCAAGGGTGACAACAGCCCAACAGCGGGGGCTTCTACTTGTAATTGCCGCCCTTGTCCTCCAGCTTCCGCGAGCGCGCTCAGTGCGCGCAGGCTTTTTGTTTTCGCTGCGGGCGCTCTCCACCCTCTCCCTGCGAAATCTGACCTTTTCGCTGAGCAGTGGGGCAATCCTGTGAGGGCAGGCGTTCGCGCCGCCTGGGATCCGCGTTCTGGGGGTCACAGATGCTTGATGGTCGCTGCGGCTGTGGATATTCAGGCCTCTGACACTATCCTATCTTCCTCTCAAGATGGCGAGGTTTCCCCGTCCAAGCCGGTAGGTAGCTCCGGGCAGGGACACAGCCCTCGTCAGTGCTTCCCTGTGAGGGGCACCTCTGTCAGCAGCCCCCCAGCAGTTTCTTCTGGTGTTCACTGTCTCCCAGCTTGCCGATAAACACTCACAGCACAAGACCCTCAGTTGCTCTCTCTTTCTGCTTCGGGAGAGGGCTCAGAATCCGCCCATCTATTCTTCCGCCATCTTACCTCCTCTCCCTTCTCTCTATTTTTACTTTTGACTGGAGGCCTGGTGCACAGATTCATGCACAGGTGGGGTCCCTTGGCCTGGCTTGCAATTGGGCTGACAGGGCCCTCTCTCCCAGTCCCGATTGGGTCTGGGCCAGCTGGCTGGGGGGGAGGGGGGAGGTGGAGGGACAGGAGGTTGGCTGTGGGAATGCATTGACCACCCAGGGGCAGCTCCTGTGTTTAGCGTCTGCTCTCTGATGGTCAGTGTGTTGTGGGGTCGAACCCTGGGTTCAAAATAAGACCACTGGAGGCTGATGATTTATTAAAAAAAAAAAAAAAAAAAAAAAAAACAGGCAAAGATTTATTGAAATATCTGGCCAGGACAGCCACAAGAGCACCACACGCAGGCGGATTCCACACGACTGGCCTGCTTCAGGGGCAGGTAGTTCTTTTTAAAGGTTCTGAGAAGGAAAACCCCTATTTTGCAACAAACTGTTGTTTGGAATTTTCTGCTGTTCTTCCTAGACAAAATGTTGCTGTCTGACCTTGTAGGCCAGAGACCAGATATGCCCACCATCTCAATACCATGCCAGGTGTCAAGGCCAGCATCGAGATAACCACTAAGTGCACATAGGCTGGCTCTTTAATTAAAAAAAAAAAAAAAAAAAAGGAAGTTCTGCCTGTAACTACCCTATTGTTTAAGCAAGTAAGTGAAGGTCGAAGTCAGAATAGTAGGGTTAAAATTCAAACGGCAGTTTTTACCCAAGTATGATTGCTACCATATTTCAAGTGCGCATCATAGCTATTGGCTGGTCATCTGGTTGTCTGTTGTCCGGTCATAACAGTTGCTTAGGCTTTTATATACGTAGATAATTTTTTCCTGTATTGATTAAGGCATTACATATGTGTCCTTATTCCCCTTTGCCCCACTGTAGTTATTTCTCTTTAGTTGGGGGCTGGGGGGAAGGTTGTATCAGCCTTATTGAAGACTTATCGATAGGTTTAAAGTGTGGGTTCAAGTGCCGGCTGCCGCACAGGGGCACATGCATGCCCACACCTGCTTTCACCAGCCCAGGCACACCTGCGTGTTCAGGGCTGCCTCAGTGGGGGTTCTGGGCCCCTGCACTTGGTGTGGGCAGCTCTGGACCAGGTGGAGGCAGGTGGCAGGCCAAGGTGGCTGCAGCCAGGTCCCCAGGAGCTTCTGAGGCAACACGCCCCCCGTCCTGGAGGCCAGGTATTAATGGGGTATCTACACGGCTCGGGCGCCATAGGTCCCATGGGCAGGGCGGATGCAGGGACTGGCCCGGGAGCAGGTTGATTTTCTCAGGATTCTGTTGGCGGGAACATGCCAGGCGGCCCCTCCTTGGTTGTGGGCACATCCCCAGGAGGTGTGTGCAGGAGGCAGCTGATCGATGTTTCTCTCTCATCGATGTTTCTAACTCTATCCCTCTCCCTTCCTCCCTGTAAAAATCAATAAAATACATTAAAAAAATAAAATAAACATGGCTTCATTGTGCCTGTTCATCCCAATGACAGCTTCCTATGGACTCTCAGTGAGAGTGGAAGGGAAGACAGAGAGAGAAAGATACATCGATTGGTTGCCTCCTGCACCCGCCCAGACCAGAGCCCGGGATTGAGTTGGAATCGAACCTGGGACCCTTCAGTCCACAGGCTGGTGCTCTAACCACACCAGCGGGGCCCCTCGGCTCACCTTCCGCCTCGGTGCATTTGGATGGAGAGTTTATCTCTCAGAGACGCAGTGTGAGGGATGGTTTATTCTCCCATCCTGCCCTCTGTCTGCGATGGGCGATGGGCGATGGGCGAGTCAGACGCATTTGCATGTAAAGTACCCTATTTTTTGGACCATAAGACGCACTTTTTTCCCCCAGAAGTGGGGGGAAAAAGTCCCTGCGTCTTATGGTCCAAATATAGCCTACACATATACTTTTAAAAAAAAGTTTTTTTACTTGCCCTGCTCTGTGTGGTCTCTGTGTGCTTGCCCAGCTCTAAAATGGTTCTAAATGCTGCTGTTTACTTTACAGGGTTGATTACATGTGTTTATGACTGTGATGTTGGGTTTTAATGCACATAAAATATTTTAGGACACTATTTGTTTCAGAATCTTTTTTTCTTCATTTCCCTTCTCTAAAAACTGGTGTGTCTTATGGTCCGGAGCGTCTCATGGTCTGAAAAATACAGTAATTACTGTGGAGGAGTGACTTCCTCCTACCAGGCTGCTGTCCTGGGTCCCAGTTGCTGATGCTCCCCCCCCCCCCCCCCCCCCCCCGCCTTTCTCTCCTGAAATCAAGCAGAGTCACACGCCCTCAACCATGTGGTCTCATCGCGGTCACTACACTGTTGCTACCCTGCCCCGCAATCTGTCAGCCGCCCCCAACCCCACTGCTCTCTCTGCAGGGGCCGCCGGGCTCAGACCCGCTGAGGGGTGCAGCCTGCCTCTGTTCCTCCTCCCGTGGGCACCCCTGCCTGCTCCTGAGAGCTGCTGGCCTGAGGGGCGGCCACCCCAGGTCACGTCTCTGCTGATGTTGATGCTGTTGTTGCTAAATTCTTTTCACGTGTAAAACCTGTACGTGGGGACACGTGGGGACATGTTCACCCCAAGGAGGTGGGACGGGAAGGCCGCTGACCCCGCCTGTGGAGCCCGTGCACGCGTGACCCCTGGCTCCTGGGCCACCAGCACGGGGATCCCCTGGCCCCCTGTCTCCCCAGGCTGCTGCGTGCAGAGCCCGTGCACGCGTGACCCTCCGGTTCCCGGGAGGTGCTCTGCGTGGGCGGGCGTGCTCTGGCCCCCGAGGGGTGACAGTAGGATGGGGGTGGGGGCGGCATGAACGCGGTGTGACGAGGTTCCCGTCTTTGCAGCTGACCCTGAACACCTCTAGCAACCTGTCGTCTGAGCCGAGCGCGGCGAGACTGAGCCTGGGCAGCTGGTGCGGGCCCGGCGAGTACCAGTCTGCCTGGCACTGCTGTCTGTGCTGCCCCCCAGGTGAGTGGGGCAGGCCCTGTCCGCTGGGCCCCGCCCTGACGCCTGACTAGCCACGGCTCTGACGGGGTGGCAGGGAGGAGGCGGCCCTGGCACCGTGCTGGCCAGCAGAGTACGTGTCCACCCCGGGGCCTTCCAGGCTGGGCCCCCGGCCCATGGCAGCCAGGACGCTGGGCTGCGCCTGGGGGGGTCTCAAAGGTGTGTCCTGGGTGGGGTCGGGTCCCTGGGTGCCCCACCACACAGCTGTTGGGGGAGCAGTGGGGGAGCAGTGGTTTCGTCATTTCCATGACCTGGTAACACGCAGAGATGACTTGAATGCAAACGCCAGGGACTGGATTTGTGTCTTCTCACCGAGAGGCCACCCAGGGCCAGGCGTGGAGGCCGCACAGTGGGGTGCGGGCTGCCTGGTGGGTCTGACCCACCCCGACCTCTTGCTCAGGCCACTATGTCGAGGAGCCGTGCAGCAGCCCTCACACCCAGAGCGAGTGTGTGGTGTGTGACACGGGGACGTACATGGAACACGCCAACAGCCTGCGGTCCTGCCTGCTGTGCGCCACCTGCCGCACGGGTGAGTCCCGGCCCCCGAATCTTGACCTTGAGCCCGAAGCCCCTTGCATGTCCCTCACTGGGGAGCGAGCCCACAACATGTGCCTTTTACCGGGAATTGAACCTGAGACCCTTCAGTCTGCAGGCTCACACTTTATTCCACTGAGCCAAACCAGCCAGGGTAGGAATATGTGTGTGTGTGTGTGTGTGTGTGTGTGTGTGTGTGTATATATATATTATATATATTAAATTTTTAAAAAAGCGTTTTCCAAAGGTGTAAACTTGAGGATAATTCAAAAAAGAAAAATCAATGGGAAAAATATCCTGGAGTGGTGATTAACCAAATAAACAAATAAATAGATAAGTGAATGGATGAATGAATGAATGAAATCAGTAAAAATGTAATTAAGAGAGAAAAAGAAAAAGTCTCTGAGGAGTGGAGGGGTGGACCGTCTCACATCTGCCAGAGCCAGAGCCGCACATGGGGGCAGGGTGGCGGGGACTCCTGCCCAATGGGAGACGTGGGATCAGGGCCGGCCCTCGGGAGAAACATTGGGGTGTAGTGGGTGATGTTCCCACGGGCCCAAACCACTCCACACCCGCCCTCCCACCTCTGTGGACACCGGGGCCTGCTCTCCCGTGTGTCAGAGCCGTCCGTGTGCACCCCGTGTCCACTGGCAGGGAAGGCAGATAAAGCGACACGTGACTTCGCACAGTGCCCCCAGGGAGACCAGCCCTGGTCCCTGACCCAGCGGCCAGAAGGGGCCGGTATGGGTGGACAGTCCCAGCCCCTGTGCCTGACCCGCCTTCCCCTCCCCCGCAGATCAGGAGATGGTGAGTGATTGCACCCCAACACAGGACCGGCAGTGCCAGTGCAAGCCCGGGGAGTACTACTGCGACTCGGAGCACTGCCTGGAGGGCTGCTACCCCTGCACCAGGTACCGCCTCGGGCGCGGGCAGCCCTGCCGCCTGGGTCCCCGCCCGCCCGGGGCCTGTCTGCCTCGGGTTGTGCAGCGGCCCCCTCGGTGCTCCCGCCTGGAGCCTGGCAGCACCCGCCCTGTGGAGGCGCCTGCAGATGAAGCGAACCCCTGGCCTGGCTGTGTCCCCCGGGGCCGCCCTGGGCCAGGCTCCGTCCACCCACAGAGCCACCGCCCGCTCACCCCTCCAAAGCCCCCGAGGAGTCGGGCACAGAGGCCAAAGCTCAGGGACCCAGACGGGGCCCCGAGGGGTATAGAGGGCAGGGGCTGTGGGAGAAGCAGAGGCCCGAGGAGGGAGGGCATGTGGGAACCATCGACGGTTCGGAGGGGCAGCTCTGGGCAGGGGAAGGGCCTTCTGGGGAGACATGACAGCGGGAAAAACGCTAGCAGAATGGCTCCCTTTTTATTTATTTTTTAAAAATATATTTATTGATTTTTCACAGAGAGGAAGAGAGAGATAGAGAGTTAGAAACATCGATGAGAGAGAATCATCGGTCAGCTGTCTCTTGCACACCCCCTACTGGGGATGTGCCCGCAACCAAGGTACATGCCCTTGCCCGGAATCGAACTCGGGACCTTTCAGTCTGCAGGCCGATGCTCTATCCACTGAGCCAAACCGGTCCGGGCAGAATGGCTCCCTTTTTAAAATAAATGGGTTTTAATTGATGTCAGAGAGGAAGGGAGAGGGAGAGAGAAAGTCAATGATGAGAGAGAATCATGGACCTGCTGCCTCCTGCACCCTCACCTCCACACCCCCTGCCAGGGATGGAGACCCCAACCCGGGCCTGTGCCCTGAGCAGGAACCGCACTGTGACCCCCTGGGTCCTGGGTTGATGCTCACCCTGAGCCATGCCGGCCGGCTCCAGGTCCTTCACTCTGTGACCCTGGAGTTCGGGGTCTCAGAATGCGCCTCCCGCACTCAAAGGGCAGGTGGGGAACCCGGTGATGGGGGCAGGCATGGGGCTGGGGGCTTAGAGGTTCCTCCGGGGTCCCCACTCAGCTGTGCAGAGAGCTGTTACGCGACGGGAGGCCTTCGAAAGCAAGGGCTCGTCCTGGGTCTAAACACACCTCCCCGTGACTTCAGAACAGGAAACAAAGAATGACCACGCCCTAATTTTGCGACCACGAGGAAGGACGCCTGATAGCCGGGCCTCTCCCCGGCTCCCAGGCCTGCAGACGGGGCCCAGCAGCTTCCCCGGGAGGGACCTCGGGGGCTCCCCACCCCGCTGTGGGGCGTGGGCCATGACCTCTGAGAGGCTGCTGGTTCTGGGGTGAGCACAGCGGGGCGGGGAGCTCTCTGGGGGACCCAGACCCGGAGCCCACCCGCTGCTGGCGACAGCGCCCCGGGCCCTGGGCAGAGGTGGCGGGAGGAACAGTGGCGTCTCCCTCCCCAGGTGCCCCGAGGGGAAGGTGGTCCTACAGGCGTGCAACGCTACAGCGGACACCCGGTGCGGCCTGCCGGGCCCAGGTAAGGGGCTCCTGTCGTGTGTAACGTGTACGTTCTGGGGACGAGAACCGCGTCAGAAAATTCACCATTTTATGGCGAACAATTTACTTATTTAAATATACTTTTTATTGATTTCGGAGAGGAAGGGAGAGAGAGAGAGAGAGAGAGCGACATCAGTGATGAGGGAGAAGCATGGACCAGCTGCCTCCTGCTCGCCCCACACTGGGGATCATGCCCGAAACCAGGAGTGGAACCGTGACCTCCTGGTTCACAGGCCGCCGCTGACTGCACCCGGCTGGGCCACAGTGACAGTTCCATGGCTCTGAGCACCCAGCGGGGTCACCGGGGACACGGCCTGACCCAGGACGTCCCTTCAGGGGGACATCAGAGCACCACTTCCTCCAACACTCACGTGGCCGGGAACCCCCTGAGACCTGGCACCGGGGCTCCCCATGGGGGCGGGGTCAGCCCTACCTGCCCTGGGGGTGCCGGCCCCCCAGGAAGGCTCGCAGGCTGAACGGGCCTGCCCCCAGGCCTCTCCCCAGGGGCCCGTCTGCTGGGCCAGCGAGTGGAGATGCTGTTCGTTTCGTTTTAGGGTCCATGTCCTGGGAATGAGAGCTTCCCCCCCCCCCCCCCCAGTCTGTCTCTCCCCAGTTACTCATCCCTCAGCAGCGCCTCCAGGAAGTCCTTCTTGTTAAGGGTGAATAATGCTCCAGTGTGCATGCATAGGTGGTGCATGCATAGGTGGTGCATGCATAGGTGGTGCATGTGCGCATGTGTGCACACGTGTGTGCGACACGTAACTTCTCTATACTTCCTCGGCAAGCGAGCACAGAGGGTTGCAGTGCTGTGGCCCCGTGAACACGAGGTGCTGACCTCCTCAGCCTCGTGCTGCGTGTCCTTCAGGCGCCTCCCCGGGCAGCGCTGGGTCTGGCCTGGGTCCGGGCTGCCGTGAAGGGCGGAGTGGCCGCTGAGGCGTGTCTGTCCGCAGGGCCGAAGAGCAGGCACCGGCTCCTGTGGGCCGCGGGCTGGCTGTTCTCCCCAGTGGCTGGGGCCCTCGTCCTTCTCTACATCAGGAAGCCCGGAGACGGAGGAGGCCAGGCGGCCCGCTGCTGTCTCTGTGCAGGTGGGACTGGGCTGGGCATCGGACAGGAGGCGGTGATGGGGCAAGTCCGGGCGCCTGAGGGAGGACAGGGCAAGGCCTAAGTTGGCCGGTACCTGGGGCTGAGGGCTGGCTAGATTGGGGGTCCCTCCTGCCATGGATGGGTGCCAGGGCCATCTCCCAGGTGGCAGCCCTGGCTGAGGCCAGGGTGTGGGGCAGGTCTGAGGGGCAGAGCCAGGGGCCCTGGGCTCGGGCTCCTGGAAGGTTCTGGAAACAGAAAAGAGGGGCAAGGCACAGTGGCCCTTCCTGTAGCTTCCTGATCTTGGGGGGAGGGTGATCGCTTCTGAGCCATCTCAGCTCAGAGGAACCTCCTGGCACCTCCGTGACCACCCGCCGTCTGTCTCCCCAGGATGTGTCTCCACCAGACGTCCTGACAGAACGGAGAGCCTGGTGAGTGGCGCCCAGGCCAGGCCGGCCCCGGAGGGGAGGTGGCGGGACCCACTCCAGCTCCATTGAGGCCCTCTCTGCCCGAGCGTCAGCCGAACGAGAGCCGAGGGCCTGAGCCGGATGTGCCTTAGACTCTGGAGGGCCCAATCCACATGGGGAAACTGAGGCACCGAGGCCCGCAGAGCCAGCCATGAGGGCAGTGCTGAGACCAGAGGCGGCCGGGCCCCACTGAGCTGTGGGCCCCTATCCTCTTGTGGGGGCGCCTGGGCTGACCCCTGACCCTTGTCTTGCCTTTCCAGGTGCCTGAGAGCTCAGGGCCCTTCGTGTCATCGCCTGAGACCCGCGATGCAGACACTCCGGTCCCCGCGATGGGGGCCCGCCTCCTGCCTGAAGGCCGCCTGGACGTGGCGTCCGAGTCCCTGATCCTCCCCGGGCCCCCGGAGAGCCCAGCGGGGGTGGACGGCCCGTGGCCGGAGGTGGAGGCCGGTGATGAGGCCGGGCCCCACGCTGGTCACCACGGCCTGACACTTCTTCACTCCCCCGCAGCCCCGGCCTAAGGGTAATGGTTAAGGTCCTGGTGGATCGTTTGGGCGCAGAGCTCTGGGCTGCAGCTGAGGAGCTCAGGAGGCCCTCAAGGCCCATCGTCCCACCTCAGAGACCAGGTGACCACACAGGATGGTCTGAAATCAAAACTTTCCCACCCTGGCCAGGGTTGCTCAGTGGTTAGCACGTTGGACTATGCACGGAAGGGTTGGAAGATCTATTTCTGGTCCTGGGCAGTGGCGTAGCGAGGGGGGTGCCGAGGGGGCCATGGCCCCGGGCGGCGTATCAAAAGGGGCGGCGGCAATCACCATGATATTTAAATTTAAAAAAATATAGGTATATGTAAAACTGCAAATCGCGCCCGCGCTGATTCAAGCCAAGCAGACCACGCGGGTGCGGAAAGGGGGGCAGGTGAAGCAGGTGGTGCAATAGAAATTTTCGCAGACGTTTTTAAATGGGGGGCGGCAAATTTCCGGTCGGCCCCAGGCGACGAAAGCCCACGCTACGCCACTGGTCCTGGGCTCAGACTTGGGTTGCAGATTCACCCCCTGCCCCCCTTCAGAGCCCCTGCGTGAGACAACCAATCGATGTGTCTCTTTCACCAGGATACGTGTCTCTCTCTCGGCCCCCCTCCCTCCATCCTTTATACCCCCTTTGGAGACTCCATGGAAAACATATCCTCATCAAAACAACAATGAGCCGAAACCGGTTTGGCTCAGTGGTAGAGCATCGGTCTGCGGACTGAAAGGTCCCAGGTTCGATTCCGGTCAGGAGCATGTACGTTGGTTGTGGGCACATCCCTGGTAGGTGTGCAGGAGGCAGCTGGTCGATGTTTCTCTTTCATCGACGTTTCTAGCTCTCTCTCTCTCTCTCTCCCTTCCTCTCTGTAAAAAATCAATAAAAATATTTAAAAAAACACACAACAACAATGAGGCACCACCTCACACCTGTCAGAATGGCAATCATCAACAAATCAACAAACGACAAGTGCTGGCGAGGATGCGGAGAAAAAGGAACCCTTGTGCACTGCTGGTGGGAATGCAGACTGGTGCAGTCACTGTGGAGAACAGTATGGAGTTTCCTCAAAATATTAAGAATGGCCGAAACCGGTTTGGCTCAGTGGATAGAGCTTCAGCCTGCAGACTGAAAGGTCCCAGGTTTGATTCTGGTCAAGGGCATGTACCTTGGTTGTGGGCACATCCCCAGTAGGAGGTGTGCAAGAGGCAGCTGATCGATGATTCTCTCTCATCAATGTTTCTAGCTCTCTATCCCTCTCTCTTCCTCTCTGTAAAAAATCAATAATATATATATTAAAAATTTTTAAGAATGGAACTGCCATTTGACTCAGTGATCCCACTTCTAGGAATTTATCCTAAGAAACTAGAAACATGAATCAGAAAGGATATATGCACCCCTATGTTCATAGCAGCACAATTCACCATAGCTAAGATTTGGGATCAGCCTAAGTGCCCATCAGCAGATGAATGAATTAGGAAACTGTGGTACATGTATACAAGGAATACTGCGCTGTGGTAAAAAAGAAGGAAATCTTATCATTTGCAACAGCATGGATGGAGCTGGAGAGCATTATGCTAAGCGAAATCAGCCAGTCAAAGATAAATATCACATGATCTCACTCATTTGTGGATTATAATGAAAAACATAAACTAATGAACAAAAACAGATGGATCAGACCTTCAATCCTCAGAGAGAAGGTAGGGGAGGGTGGCAGTAAGATCAACCAAAGGACTTGTATGCATGCATATAAGCCTAGCCAGTGGACACAGACACCAGGGGGGTGAGGGCATGAATGGGGGGGTAGGGGGGACATTGGGGGGACAAGGCCACATAGGTAATAACCAATGAAGAAATTAAAAAACAAAAAAAAAAAAAACATCCTCAAATGACGGTGTTTGTGGCCTGGGCCCCAGGTTGGCCTCACAGCCCCGCCGTGAAGGTCTGGGCCCCGGATGGAGGTCTGAGGCCCGGATAGATGTCTGGGTTCTGGGTGGATGGCTCCGGGCTGGGAGGGAGGTCTGGGCCCCGGATGGAGGTCTGAGGCCAGGATAGATGTCTGGGTTCTGGGTGGATGGCTCCGGGCTGGGAGGGAGGTCTGGGCCCCGGATGGAGGTCTGAGGCCCGGATAGATGTCTGGGTTCTGGGTGATGGCTCCGGGCTGGGAGGGAGGTCTGGGCCCCGGATGGAGGTCTGAGGCCCGGATAGATGTCTGGGTTGTGGGTGGATGGCTCTGGGCTGGGAGGGAGGTCTGGGCCCGGATGGAGGTCTGAGGCCCGGATAGATGTCGGGGTTCTGGGTGGATGGCTCCGGGCTGGGAGGGAGGTCTGGATTATGGATGGAGATCTTGTCCTCTGATAGAAGATAGGATTCTGTGTCTGAGGCCTGGGCCCAGGGATAAATTTCTCCGTCCCACCATGATGGTCTGGGACCTGGATGTACCCTGTTTCCACGAAAATAAGACAGTGTATTATATTAATTTTTGCTCCCAAAGATGCGCTAGGTCTTATTTTCAGGGGATGTCTTATTTTTCCATGAAGAAGAATACGGTACACATTTATTGTTAAATGAAAATAAAGGAAATTTATTACCTGTATATGGTACAGTAGTACGGTAGTTGTCAACACAAACCAGACAAACTGTGAATCCTACAGTATCAAGAATTTACTCATTTATTCAATGACAATCATGTCATCATCTTCTGGAACATCATCATAACAATCCAATTCCTGAATTTCCTGGTGAATTTCTTGTGAATCCATTCTTTCAGAATCAGTGGACCAAATCTCTCATGTTTAGCAATAGCACTGTCTTTAAATGAGCACTTCTTGTCAAGGTAGCCTGCTCGCAGTGCATTTGCAATGCAACTGTCAGTGATTTTCTCCCATGAATTCTTCACTCAAGTCACAGCTTCTTGCAGTTTAGGTTTCACAAAGTTTACGGTAAATTAATTTTCATTCTGAGACAGAGCCTGGGGGGCCTTATTTTTGGGGGATGCCTTATATTTCACTCAGAAGGAAACCTGTAAGTAGGTCTTATTTTCAGAGGATGTCTTATTTTCAGGGAAACACAGTAGGTGTGAGCCCCAGGTGGAGGTCTGGGTCTTGTGAGGACAGTTCGGGCCCAGAGAAAAGTCTGAAACCAGGGGACAGTCTGGTACCTCACCAGAACATCTTGGTTAAGGAATAGTTGTTGGGGTTAAGCATAGAGATCTAGTCCCTTGGTACAACTCTGTGTTCCAGGTTTGTGGCCATGAAGTCTGGAACCCGGATGCAGGTCTGGGTGCTCAGGCATGGTGTGGTCACTAGAGGGCGCTATGGGCGCAGGTGTGAGGTCTGTGGCGAGGACAACCCTCGGGATGATGAAATGGTGGTCAGGACTAGCCTGGTTATTTGGCCTCCAATTAAGGAATAGGCTCTGGCTGCTAGTATAGGTCCTAGGAATGGCCTTCTGGTCCTCGCCATAATGGTCGTGGACCAGGAGGTAGGTCTGGGCCCCTGAGGGAGGTCTGGGTCCTCAGAGGGCCTTTGGGGCCAGGGAGGGACATCTGGGCCCCTGGGGGCGGTCTGGTACCTCACTGGACCTCTGGGTTATGGAATTGGTGGTCTGGGTTACAAATTGAGAAGTACACCCAGGATACAAGTTTGGATTCTGTGTTTGAGGCCTGGGCCCCGGGATAATCTTTTCAGCCCTGCCACGGTAGTCTAGGTCCCTGTTGTAGGTGTGAGCCCCGGGTGGAGGTCTGGGTTCTGTGAGGGCAGTTCGGGCCTGGAGGGAGGTCTGAGCCCCGGGGACGGCCTGGTACCTCACCTGAACATCTAAGCTAAAACATTGTTCATGGGGTTAAGCATAGAGATCTCTTCCCCTGATACAACTCTGTGTTCCAGGTTGGTGGCCTGGGCCCCAGGTGTGCCTACTTGTTTTTGCCATGAAGGTGTGTGAATGAAGGTGAGGTAGGTCTGGGTGCTCAGGCACGGTGTGGTCACTAGGGGGTGCTATGGGCCCAGGTGTGAGGTCTGGGCAAGGGCAGAACCTCGGGATGATGAAGTCTGAGGCCCAGGGATGGTCTAGTACCTCACCTGAACATCTAAGTTAAAAAATAGTTGTTGGGCCGAAGCCGGTTTGGCTCAGTGGTAGAGCATCGGTCTGTGGACTGAGGGGGTCCCGGGTTCGATTTCAGTCAAGGGCATGTACATAGGTTGCAGGCACATCCCCAGTGGAGGGTGTGCGGGAGGCAGCTGGTCGATATTTCTCTCTCATCGACGTTTCTGGCTCCCTATCTCTCTCCCTTCCTCTCTGTAAAAAAATCAATAAAATATATTTTTTAAAAAAATAGTTGTTGGGGTCAGATGGGTAAAATAAAGCTCTCCGTTAGTATTTTCTCCTTTTAATCTTTAATTTTTCACCTCTTCTCTACATCATTGACTAATACCATGAATTAGATCAGTGACAGATACAGAGGAGTGGGTAGCGTTGTTTCTAGTATGAGCCCATTATGTACCGTATTTTTCGGACCATAAGACGCACCGGACCATAAGACGCACCAGTTTTTAGAGAAGGGAAATGAAGAAAAAAAGATTCTGAAACAAATAGTGTCCTAAAATATTTTATGTGCATTAAAATCCAACATCAGAGTCATAAACACATGTAATCAATCCTGTAAAGTAAACAGCAGCATTTAGAACCATTTTAGAGCCGGGCAAGCACACAGAGACCACACAGAGCCGGGCAAGTAAAAAAACTTTTTTTTTAAAGTATATGTGTAGGCTATATTTGGACCATAAGACGCAGGGACTTTTCCCCCCCACTTCTGGGGGGGGGAAAAAGTGCGTCTTATGGTCCGAAAAATACTGTACATGTCCTTGACCAGAACCGAACCCGAGACCCTTCCGTCCGTGGGTTGGTGCTCTAACCACTGAGAAAAACAGGCCATGGCTGGTTAAACTTTTGAGTACAGGGACCAATTCTTTGAGATTTGATAACACAGGCAAAATCATATAGGAGAACTGAAATATATTGCATTCTACATAAGGTGCTGGAATAGGTGTGGCCATAAGGATGATTATAGCTACAGTTTCCTCTTTATTATTTATTTCGCTTAAAAATCACTATTTACCTTTTTGTATGGGAAACATCTTTACATGATTCAAACATAAAAAAGTGTAAATAGGTAGAGAAGTTTCTCTGTCATGTCCTCATCTATACAGTTTGCATTGCTCCCAACAAACAGGTATCACATTCAAATTTTTAAAAATCTTTCCAAAAATTTTAAAATTATTATTATTATTATTATTATTATTGATTGACTTTAGAGAGAGAGGGAGAAGGGGAGACGGAGAGAAAGAGAGAAACATTGATTTGTTGTTCTACTTATTGATATATTCATTGGTTGAATCTTGTGAGTGCCCTGATCAGGATGGAACCTGCTACCTTAGTATACGGGAGGACGCTGTAACCAACTGAACGACCCGGCCAGGGCCCCAAAGATTAAAACACATACACACACACACACACACACACAGATATGTAGGCCAATAAATGTTTTCCTTAAAAGAAAACTACCCAACATCCAGACACAGCTTTCCAGAAGCCTGTATCTTAAAAAAAAAAAAAAAAAAAAAAAAAAAAAAAAGTCAATTACATTTTGCCCCAGCTGCCCAAGATTGCCCACCCACGCTCAGCCAGGGCTCTTAAGGCCTG